CTCTGATTGTCACTTTGGCAATGACTGCTTCTGACTTCCGATTTCCACTTGCAATTGCTTAATGTTATAAAAAAAGTTAGGAATGGCAGAACGTATGTGCCAGCAAACCCACATATTGCAAACTAGGAAGTCTGTCTCCAGGAGTGGCCAATAGTTAATGCCTAGGGAAGAGCACAGGACTGTGCCAAGCTTTCAGTGCTCCCCATTTCAGGGAGAATTAATAGGGATGGTGCCTTCGTGGAGAAGCCAGTGAAGGGCTATTTCTTCCACACTAGCAATGGGAGAGTAATCTCTGAGAAAAGGGAACAGCTTTTGCTCACAAATTACTTTGTACTTCTAGCAGTTTCAAAGCACCACATCACTCCTGTAATGTAAACTGGAGCATGTGGTCCTGCAACATGAATCTTCTGGCTATTGAGCTGGCTGGGGAGGTTTTCACATGCTTCTCCACTGAGCCTACCTCCACCCCATTGTGCCTGGTAGACGTGCCCTGTGAAAACAATTTCTATTAGAGGCAAACGGTAACTCTTCTTGTTTCTTCTTTTTTTATTTTTTTTTCCTTTTTTTTTTTTTTTCTTCCCAGTTTTGGTTTTACTTGTTTTTCATAAATTCAGACCATTTCACTACTGTGGCTCATAGCACAGCGACCAGTTGAGTCAGCAAAGTGAGGAAGCTGCAAGCTGGGGGGGCAGGACATGGGCAGGAGGAAGGCAGTGTGGGAACAAGCAAGTGAGGGCGAGCCCTTATAACACATCCTATGCATCTGCTTAAAATGAGTATTTCAAATGCTAGTAGCTCATGTGCACTGATAAGCCATAACATCGAGTCCAAGATAACTGAATAGGGACCAAGACAAAGTTTAGAATCTTTATAAATTACAACAGAGCAACCTTCATGGACATTGACTATGTTCTCTTTCTACAGAGGCTGCTCCCCTAGGTTCCAGGGAGACCTCACTGTGGCCTTTCAGTACTTGAAGGGAGTGTATAAACAGGAGGAAGAACGACTTTTTACCTGGGTTGATAGTGATAGGACAAGGGGGAATGGTCTTAAACTGAGACAGGGAAAATTTCAGATCTTAGGAGGAAGTTTTTCACACAGAGGGTGGTGACACAGTGGAACAGGTTGCCCAAGGAAGTTGTGGATGCCCCATCCCTGGAGGCATTCAAGCCAGGCTGGTTGTGGCTCTGGGCAGCCTGGTCTGGTGGTTGGTGACCCTGCACATAGCAGAGGGGTTGAAAGTAGATGATCATTGTGGTCCTTTTCAACCCAGGCCATTCTATGATTATTAATGCCTCCTATTTTATGATGTTGGCCTGCGGCATCAAGGGTGGATGTTGGCAATATGGCAGCAGAGGTTGAACCTTCCCACCAATATTCCGTGCCATTTTGTTACCATGAAACAGATGACATCAGAGGGGCAGTCTGACGAAATGACATCTGACATGGAAATGTGTATGAAGCAGAAGCGTGTCACTGAATTCCTCTGTGCAGAAAATATTGCACCCATTGACTTTCATTCATGCCTGCTGAGTGTTTATGGAGACCAAACAGTGAGCGCAGTGAGGCTGTGGGTGATGCATTTCAGCAGTGGTGACAATGACAGTGGGTCACCTCTGCTGGTGCAGATTTTTATGAGCGTGGCGTGCAGGCTCCTGCTCACCACTGGTAAAAATGCATAGCTAACGGTGGTGACTGTGTTGAAAAAGAGTGTTTTGTGGCTGAGAATTTGCTCTATTAAATAGTGTTATTGTGCTTTTTGTATTTGTTAGGGGGGGAAAAATAGGAGGCATTACTTTTGGAGCAATCTGTTTATATATTTAGCTGATCCTTAGTATGAAGATAACGATTCTTGGAAACCAACGCTGTAAATCCATAGATATTTTTATTATTATTATTTTTTCTTTACAGCTTGTAGGGGATAATGCGTATGTGTAATCGACGCATGTGCAAGGAAGAAAAATCAGACTGTACCCAGCAGAAAGATTCTCCCATAATTGCCCAACCTCTTCTGGTGAAGCGCCAGGGATGTGTACTGTCATACAGCATGTTGCAAGTGGTTTGATTTGCTCACTGCATTTCCTGTCCTCTTCTGAGGAATTCAGGGAGCTCCCGGGCTGGAAATGTATGGCAGCAAGGCAGGCAGACCTTGTTTGGGGAGTGCTGGACTGTATGGCAAAAGGGACAAAGTAACCTCTCTGATCCTTTCCAAACCTGTTTCTTAGGACTGTGATAAGAGACTGAAATGTGAATCTCATGCTATCGTGTAATGCACGCTTTGAGCACAAATGGAAACTGTGAGGGAGGAAAAAAAAAAAAGTTTTAGTATATTTTTTCACACTGGAAATGACTTAACCTCCTATATTTTCTTCCTCTTTTTTTCTTTTTTTTTCCCAGCATAGTACCTCATTAGCAAAGTTTCAATGAATTCAAAGCAAAGGCAAAGAGGAACAGTTTGCTCTCTTGCAGGATTTATTAAATGTGTCACCTAGTTATTTTTTTTCCCACATTTCCTTTAAATTAACAAAGGGCTTTAAATAAAAACCCTTACAAGCTAAACAACAGACACCAAATATTTTGAGAATGAAACTCATCAGAAAGGCCCATTCCCTAGGCAAAGCGCTCAATCAGTTTAATTTTTTTTTCTTACTGAAAATGTGGGTGGTTTTCAAATACAGGAAAGAAAACATGATGGCTTGTGGTGATACTTTCCACCAGAAAGATGCAGCTTTAAGGGCTTTTGGTTTCCAAATACCTACACCCACAGGAGTGGCCTCGTCTGTTGTAGAAGGCCATGCCTGATTAGTTGTACAAGTCAAATTAAATGGCAATAATAGCACACAGCAGTTGATGCGTGTTGCAGTGGAAGCTCTGTGTCAGCAGGGTAATTAATATGGCAGCTGTCTCCCAGACTACAGCACTGTGGTTTTTAAATATGCAAAATGCTGCTGTGTAAAAGAAGGGAAAAAAGTCTGTCCTCTACATCCCTGGTGGATAGGGGCAAGAAATAGACTTAAATCACATCAAGGATGGTTTTGTTTACAGGTGAAGGTACTGAACTCAACTCTTTACAAGGGTAAATAATGGTAGAAAAGGGCAGGAAAAGGAGAAATGGTTTTAAGTTGAAGGAAAATTTAGGTTGGATGTCAGGAGGAAATTCTTTACAGAGAGAGTGGTGAGGTGCTGGAACAGGCTGCCTAGAGAGGCTGTGGATGCCCTTTCCATCCCTGGAGGTGTTCAAGGCCAGGCTGGAGGGGCCCTGGGCAGCCTGGTCTAGTATTAAATGTGGAGGTTGGTGGCCCTGCCTGTGGCGGGAGGGTTGGAGCTTCATGATCCTTGAAGTCCCTCCCAAACCTAGGTCATTCTGTGATTCTGTGATTCTGTGTGAAGGAAATTCTCTCTGGCATGGAAGGACAGCTCTGGGGTATGCTGTCAGAGTCAGGAGGGACAAGATGGGGCAAAGCAAGCCCATAGAAAGAACACGTTGAATTTTTCTTGGAGCAGAGGATAGAAGATGTCCTACCAAGGACTTTATCCAGCTCTGAGATCTTGTAGCACAGCCAAATGTCTTGCTAGGAGCTGAAGTCTTTTTCTGTCCCTACTTTAGAGATGGGTGGCCCAATGTATTGTGTAATATCCACAACCAAACTGTGAGCCTAAACATCTGCAGAATCTCCTGTAAGAATGACTCTCACAAAAACCAACTGCTGGGTCACCCCAAGTAGGATCCTGGGCAATATCTGCCTTTTCCACCACAGAATTCACAGAAGCATCTCAGCCTTTCAAGATGAGCACTTACAGCTCCGAAAACTTTTAAAGCCTTCATTTGTATGAACACAAAGAAAATCTCTTCTACAGTTCCTGGCAAGTGGCAAGTTCTGCATGTTTAATGATGCATTAACTTCTTAGGAAACTGACATTTGAGATACTCCCAACAGAGTGCTGCGATCCACAGAAGATACTTACAGACAACTTCTTGTCTTCTGTGGGTTCAGTTCTGTGGTCAGGGGTGTGAAGGACATCTGTCAGACTCCGTGACACATCTGCAATAACAACAGTGATGTCCACCAGTCAGCTGGTGTGCTTCTGTAGGATGGGGGGATTCCTGGTGGTCTTCTCCAAAATTGTTCACATTTCTGGGGTTTCCTTTCCTTCTCGTTGCTCCTCTGCCAGGTTCCCAGGCCAATTTGCATTCTCTAGATCCACTTGTGAGCAAACCCCAGCATTGCACCTAACCTTCTAATGCAGGAGGAGGCCATAGGAATGGTGGAGTGGAGAAAGTTTCATCTCAAGTACATCTCAAGAAATGTACGTAGGGCAAAATTTATATCTCATATCCTCAAATACCAAAAGAGACACACTGAATGAGCACTCTTCATCCTTAATGAGCACATTTCATCCTCATTTCATCTAAATAACTGGTCCAGTGTTGGGTCTTGAGGAGACGTATCTCAAACACCCATGGCCAAGAACGCAACATGATAGGATAAATGAAGAAACACAAAATCATTTGAATTGGAAAGAATCCTTAAAGGTCATATAGTCCAACTCCGCTGCAATGTACAGGGACACCTACAGCTAGAACAGGTTGCTCAGAGCCCCCAAGCCTGACCTTGAGTGTGTCCAGGAATGGGACATCCACCACTTCTCTGGGCAACCTGTCCCAGTGCCTCACCACCCTTATCATAAAAAAAAAACTTTTTCCTTATATCATATCATAGAATCATAGCATGGCCTGGGTTGAAAAGGACCTCAAAGACATTCTAGTTTCACCCCCCCTTGCCAGGGGGATGGGGCATCCATAACCTCTCTGGGCAACCTGTTCCAGTGCGTCACCACCCACTAAGTATCCACTCTAAATCTTCCCTCTTTTAGTTTGAAACTATTTCCCCTTGTCCTATCATGACAGACTCTGTTAAAGTCTCTTTCTTTTAGCCCCTCTTTAGATACTGAAAGGCCGCTCTCAGGTCTTCCCAGAGCCTTCTCCAGTCTGCACAGCCCCAGCTCTCTCAGCCTGTCCTCATAGAGGGGAGATGTTCCATCCCTGGGATCATTTTGGTGGCCCTCTTCTGGACGCACGCCATCAGGTCCATGTCTCTTCTGTGCAGAAGATTCCACATCTGGACTCAGTACTCCATCGTTGAGCAGTCCAAGAGGAGACAAATGGGTGGGGAAGCGGGTGGTACCGAGGAGGAGGAGGAAGAGGCAGCGAGGGCAGTTCCGGCAGCGGGGCGGGGGCGGCTGCGGCACAACGGAGGTGATCTGCTCTCAAGCCGTGCCAAGCCGATCCGAGCCGATCCGGGCTGAACCAGGCTGCTCCGAGCTGCGCCGATCCGATCCGATCCGCGCGGAGCCGACGTTCGCTGAGCGGACATCAGGTATGCGAGGCTGGGTGCTCCGGTCCCGGCGGAGATGCGGTGTCAGAGGGATGCTTGCTGCTCAGCGTGCTGCTTCAGCTCTCAGTTCTCATTCTGTCGCAGGGTTTTAAAGCCGTCTTTTGCAAGTGTTTGTGGTTTCAGTATCACATTTTCCTGCCTTTAAAAAGTGTTGTTTTCTCCCTGGTGACATCGTGTGATACAAAGAAGAGGGGAAAAAGAGAAAAACAATGAAAACTGGTTATAACCAGAGTGTTATTCAACACTATGTAAACAAACTGGGGAAAAATAGGGGGGAAAATACTTTCCCCTGCTAGGTTCTTTGATGTATTTAGGTGTTTCGTGGCTACAGCAGTATGTAGTAAGACAGAGAGAAAGAAGTTCAGTTTTACAGCTGTTAATATATCTCATTATCTGAGTAAATAATTTTGGATCAGATCTGTAATATTCAACAGACCAACTCTGTGCTAAGTTTTTAAGCAGACTTGAGCAGTAAAGACAAGTGAGCCATCTCCATCCCTCCTCTGCTGCACAGTGTTGTGAGCTCCATTTCCTCCTGAAGGAGGGGGCTCAAAAGCTCAGCCTGGCTGCTTGGCCTTGATTCTGTTCCCTGCACAGATGCTGAATGATAATGGAGTTAAAACTCTTGGGTGTAACCAGATCCTTTTTAATGAAACCTTGTGAATGCGTTGCAGTTAACTTTCCAACTGTACTTTTCCCTAGCCTCCAGTAGTGAGATACTTTCAGGAACAGAAAGCTTTTTATGGACCCTTTTTAAAATTTTCACCAATGAAATAACAGTGGCAAAGAAAATGACTCCAGCAGCTGAAAGCCACTTAATTGAATCATGCTAATAGCAGGTTATTTAGTAAGGTTACCAGAGGAGGAAGAGATAAAGTTTCACTGAACTTGCTATTAAAAAGAAAACAGAAACGCTGGGGAAGGAAGAAGTAGAACTATGTGTGGTGAATGGAGCAGTGTTCTGACTTTCGTATTTTTAAACAGGCAAATCCTTGAGATCCTGAGGTTGTCCAACTCTCCTCTCCTCTCCTCTCCTCTCCTCTCCTCTCCTCTCCTCTCCTCTCCTCTCCTCTCCTCTCCCTTTTTCCTTTCTTTTCTAGAAAAGGACTCCACATCCCAGCCAAGCCCATGCAGCATTTTGGGGTTTCCAGGAAATGCATGCTAGGAGCCCAATGGAAGGACCAAAAGGAAAACCTGCACCAAGGAGGTTCCTGTCCCCCCTGGTTGCAGTGGGACAGAGCTGCATTCAGCTGGAAGTGTCAGAGGGCCTCCTAAGGCAACCTATTGCTGAACACCCAACATCACTTAAATCTGGATCTCAGGCCAGGCTTTGGGTCATCACTTCTGTTACTTTTTTGGTGTCTAGGCTAATCATGAGACTTTGGTATCCACCTGTCCTCACTTTCTCTGAGCTCCTTAAGCCATGCTGCACTCACTGGTTTCCTCCTGTGACTTTTTGGCCAACCCCTAGGGCACATGATGAATGAAGCAAGTCACATTTCTGAGCTGAAAGTCTGACCACTTTAAGATGATGCTCCAGTTGCACAGACATAGGCAGTGCAAAGCTCAGTAAGACTTTTTTGCCTGTTCTACACGTCCATTGGGATTTTTTCCAAAGCCTTACCAGCAAGGATTTAGATCTTCCTCCTGAACCTCCAAACTGCATCTCAGCTCCTCAGCTCTCTCCTTTTGCTCAGACTGTTTTTGTAATCGCTTTGACACATTGGACAAAATTTTTCTTGTTTTTCTTTTTTCTTTTTCTTTTTCTTTTTTTTTTTTTGCACAGCAAAGACTGATAAGAACAGAGCATTGTTACAAAGCCAGGGCGGAGATAACTCTTTTTTTTCTTTCTGCCACAAGTGTGCTTCCTTTCAAAGAAAGTCACTCAGTTGGCTCTCAGCTTCTCACGGATGCACTGTGCACCTCAGCAGCACATCAGAGGTACAGGGCCTCAAAAGAAAAGCTTAAGGGGAGAGACAAGGAAGGAGAGGTGGAAGGAAGGAGAGCCTCAGCAGCTTAGTTTCCCGGCATGGCAAGTTCTTATTTTTCCTCCTTTGGATCTTTTCCAGGTTAGTCTCTCTATATCTTTCCATTTTGTTGCAAACAAGGTGATGTGGTGAATATAACTTTTGACGGTAACTGTTTGGTTTCTTCTCTAATTATCTGGGTTTAATTACAAAGATTAGCCAGCTCTATAGCAGCCTGGAAAGGAGATGAAATATTAACTGCCTTCCGGGATTCTGTCAGAATAGCTGCTCTCTCGGAGCTGCTCTCAGCTTCTTGCATGTATGTTCATGGATCTAAGTTTAAAAACTTAGCCGAAAATTCTCATTTTGCTTCCCATTTTACTGACCAAGATTTGCATAAGCAGAATGTTGGTCTTTGCCTAAGCCTTCAAAAAGTGATTACTGAAACAGAAAATGAAGCGAAAGTCCATACAGTGGTGTGAACCATCACTTGATGCTGCCTTCCTAGAGGAGTTCAAGGCCAGGTTGAATGCAGCCCTGGGCAACATGATCTAGTGCATGATTTAGTGGTTGGCAGTCCTGCATAAGGCAGGGGCTTGGAACTTGATGGCCTTTGAGGTCCCTTCCAATCCAAGCCATTCTATGACTCTATGATTCTATGACTGTTTGAATTTATGATTCTATGAATATCCAAAACCTGCATCTGTAAGACTAGTGAAGACCTCGATTCTGTGATCACAAACACATACAGCTTATAGTGGATGAACAGTTCCTTTGCAGAGCTATTCATGTGCCATCTCCAGTTCTCAGATGGAAATGAATCGTGTACACGATGCACAACAGAAGGCAGTCATGGATTTGTATCTATTCTGCCATGTTATTCTCCATACTTCAAGCCTATGCATGAATCCAAACCAGAAGGACTCCTAGTAGTAGGCATGACTGGAAGAAAGATGTTGGCAATTGCATAGTGATTTTTGTATTATTGTTTGTTTGTGTTCGTTTTGTTCATTGGATTTATCAGGCCTGGTGGAGGTTTTTAATTTGTTATCACCTACCAGATTACATGCAGCAGTAGAGACAATTAATTAACTTTCATGATGTGTGGGGAATGAACCCAGGTTGCTTTTCAAATTAAGCACAGCTGTTTTAGCAGTGGATAATTTCTCCAATTTGTAAAGTACCTTACAGCAACACCACTGCTTTGGAACAGCTTGCTGGGGTAGAATTGTGTCATCCCATTTTGAGATATTTTTATTTCCAGCTATATGTAAAACCACTTTTCTCTGTCTAGACTTTTGGGGAAGAAATGCTGAATGGAAGAAGTATACAGTGGTAAAGGATGTATTGGGGGCCAGATGAAAGGAAAATTGTGTAGATTTCACATAGCTGTGCCTTGTCTCTCTCACCCCATCAGTGAGGTGCTGTGTGGTGCGGATGTAGGGTTCACTTATCTCCAAAATGAATGTGTTGATATTCATCTGAGCTGTAAAGAGCTCTGAGATTTGCAGATGATAAACTCCATGTAACGTTTTCACAGTTTTTGTGAATGGTCGTTTCCATATCACATTTAACCTGTTTTGGGATGCTTCTCAACCACTGCATTTTTTAATTTGCATGGCTTTAATTAATAAGAAGTGTATTATTTCCATTTCCTTATCACTGTGAAGCACAAATGCTCTGCTTATCTTCAAATAATACAACAATATAGTCAGAGCATATGCATAGGAAATAACTAAAAGACCTAAAAACCTGCAAAGACAAAAAAAATCCAATTGGTAAATGACTGAGAATGGAGAAATTCTGCCCCATTCTGCCCATGGCCAGGGAACTCTTCTATCAGGAGATGTTTCTACTTCTCCAGGAGCAGAGGAGACTCTTTTTGGAGAAATTCTACCTTTCCCTGCATCATTTTTGTGATTTATATTTCATCAGTACTGTCTGCTGGATACCTGAGCTTAGCAAAAGCCCTGCATCTTATTTGCATTGATAATGAGCTAGAAAACAAGAAAACACAAATGTGTCAGACTTTTTTTTTGTAGAAAATATATATTTTACGAAAATTATTGCTATATTGAAATCATCTCCTAGAGTAAATAAGTTACAATGGTGAAAAATTCAGATAGTTTTCATCCAGGGTTGCAAGACTACAGACTGTTAAAGGAAGGAATTTGATACGACATTGAAAAGAGGTGCCTATAGAGATGATTGGAACGTCCTACACTGTGTATTAAAGGCATTTAAATGTGGTAATAACAAGATTTTTGTATTTAGCAGATTCTAACTATCAAGAAACATGACAGGAGAAGAGCTCTCTCCATAATTACTACCGCCCTGACCAGGAGCTGAGGATGAGATAGTGTACAGATGAATACAAAAAAGTTATCCTAGTAAGTTACAGTGTGTATAGGAAAGAGTTATAGCAGACAGTAACAAAAATGTTACTGATTTGGAAGTAGAAATAGAGAGAAGTTGATTTAAGGAAAAAGGAATCTTCCAACTTTGTATTTATGGATAGACCAGGGTTCTTCATGGCATAGTGACAAGCTCCCAAGAAAGATGTTAGCAGACCAGGGACTAGATTGCAATTTCAGTTGTTTAGGGGTGGATGTGCTTTTGCTTTTGGGACCAGAGGGACATGTATGCCCATGCTGCTGGTTCCAACAGTATTAGCTTCATTTCATACACTCAAACTGTCCAGCTTGTATTTAGTAGACCTTAATGACCTACAGTGGCCAGCCTTACAGTATATGTGTCAGAGAAGAAAGAAGATAAACTCTTACTCTCAGGAGAGAATGTGGCCAGAAAAGGATAACAAAACTGATGCATTTGCTCTTGTGTGGCAAGGCTGGGACCTCAGCTAGGAAAGTGAGAAGAAATGGATCTCACTTGTTACCAGCTCGTCGCTGATCTTCTGGGCCAGATGTTGTAGGCTAACGTTTTTGTTAAGCTTTCTTAACAATAAATGACAGTGAGGAAATATGAAACATACTGGATAAAATCTAGAAACACTTCCCAAAATAGGGAGAAAAATCAGATTTTTCCAACACCAAAGGTGACTCCTCATAACACTGAACCACAAATTCACTCTGCATTTGACTCACTGAAGCACATTTATTCAAGATCACTTCAACATGAAAAGTCTGGAATGAGGCATCAGTCTCTGAAATTATATTATGTGGCTTTCATTCACCTTAGGCCAAGAAAAGAAGTGAACTTAAGTTTCTCACCATCAATAACAACTCCAAATTTGCAGTCACTGTTTATTACAGCTCTTTTTATTTGGCCTTTACCTGTACTTCAGAAGAAGTGTATGCCTCCCTGCTAGTAATTTGAGAAAAAGTTCTGTAGATAGATAAGTGTAGAAGAAAATCTTACAGAACAGTGTCTATATTGGCTGAGACAGCTGACTGCAATGACGGCTGGGACTTCAGATTTATAGTCAGTTCCTAACATTTTATTCCCACTTGACTGCCTCAGGGTAGCTGCTCACTGAACAGGCTACACGATAGGTTTCCTGTCCAGCACACTGGCCAGTTTGAATCTCTTTCTGAACTGTTTGAGTACCACGTGCTATCTTTTTCCCCTCTGAACATTTCTGGATGTCATATTCTTCCAAATGGTCAATGTGATACTGCTGTGCTGTAGTGAGAGTGTCTAGCGCAAGTTCTATCCCAGGAAGATAGATGATAGATCTATTGAGCACATGAAATCAGAGAAAGTATCTCTCTCTGAATAAGGAAATCATCATAGGGGTAGGCATTGAACAAGAATGAAAGGAAAATGGGGCATGGGACATGATTCAATTCCTTACTGAAGCCTCCATATTGTCAGGGGAAATTTTTTTTACTGAGTGGTCAGGTGTTGGAACAGGTTGCCCAGAGATGTTGTGGATGCCCCATCCCTGGAGATGTTTAAGGCCAGGTTGGATGGGGCCCTGGGCAATCTGATCTACTACTTGATCTAAGCGTTGGCAACCCTGCCTGTGGCAGGGGTACTGGAACTTGATGATCCTTGAGGTCCCTTCCAACCCAAGCCATTCTATGATTCTGCAAACACATAAACACAGCTCTATCTATGGGGATAGGGCTTTGCATGGAATCCTCTATTTCTCTCCTTGCACGAGGCACGTGAAAGAATCACAGAATCATTAAGGTTGTAAAAGACAGAATCACAGGATTGTAGAGGCTGGAAGGGACCTCCAGACATCATCAAGTCCAGCCCTCCTGCAAAGCAGGCCCCCTACAGCAGGCTGCACACATAGGCATCCAGGCAGGTCTTGACTATCTTCAGAGAAGGAGAATCCACAGCCACACTGGGCAGTCTGTTCCAATGCCTCACTGCTCTTTCTGAGAATTTTTCCTAATATCCAAGCTGAGATCCGATAGAACACTATAGCAAACATAACCGAAATTGTAGCTCTAAGTCAAACACAAGCACTATTCTGCCATCACATCGAGATAATTCATTCCAGAGAAGATACCCACCCAGAGCAGGAAGTGCAAGCAGGAAGTCCCCCTTTTGTCACTGTACCAGATGTTTTCTGGAATAAAATAATAAACATAGCCCATCTCAGTAAGCATAGGGAATGTTTCACTGTTATAAACACACACGTGATCTGAGAAGATGTACTTAAGGCATTTGTTTCAGGAGCGCAGGAATCAAAGAACAGTATATTCTCAAAGCAAACTGTCTGTAGAACCTTTGTTACGTAGTTGTTTTGTGGAGTTATTCTGGTGTTCTGTGGGAGAAGAATCTCTTGAAGAAATGTACCCGTAGCATTGGACTTGTAATAATGTTTTTCTTTGGTTTAGTAGATGTATGCATGGTCTGTGTTTATGCAGTAACTGAATGCTTCAGTCCAAATTCTGTCCTCAGGAGCGACCAGGCAATAGCAGTAATCTCACTGTGATATTCATGTGTCTTTCTGACAGTGAAATTTAGCTAGTAACCTAAATAAACTGCTCAGGTATGTGATTTTAATTCTGTTATTTTAATGAAGAAAAATATATGGGAAATGCTAGTAGCAGGACTAGTTGCAAACACAAGCATAAGGCTGCAGTGACTTTATGAAGTTGGCAGACATTGCAGTTTTGCTCTGG